GCTATGTTCTCAGTTCATCTATTCAAACTTTTAGCGACAGTAATAATTTTCTAACTGTTGCATTATTCATGATACATTTCATAATAATCTAAGCTAATACATTTTAATTAAAATAATTTCTGTTGCAAGAAAATGGAGCAGTCTCAGAAATTGGGCAGGAGGAGATTATTCTCTGCCAGATATGGTATTATCATCTGAGGATTAAATTTACTTTGTTACATCAAATAAGGCTTGATTGCCATAAAGGCAAGATATCTTGCCATAGAGGCATTGATTGCACGTTAATCAAGATATCTTGATTGCACGTCTTACCATGTCTTTTTGTCCCTCTCTACAGGAACCACATGACAGTAAGATCTGCTGGAAACTGTACAAGATGCAGTTTTGTACAGTGGCAATCACAAATGTATGGGATTCCCAAGCTAACGCCAGCATCCTTAACACTTCTCTGAGAGCAGACACACTCCAAACTCTGCCCAAAGACCAGAGGTTAGACTTCAATGCTCTATCCACTGCACTTCAATGCTGTGGCTGCACTTTGAGGAAAAGTGTTTAAATGTCTATAGCAGGCTTAAGTTCAAATCTTGCCAAGAGAAACCCATGGAAACACTCCAGGAGCTCGGCATGGATGCTGAGAAGCTTCCTCATCTCACCTTTCTGGACTATCCATCAGAAAAAAGGGAAATAGTGTCCCTGTAGTACTTCACCGATGACATCAAGGATCCTGGGACACAAAAAGACCCTGGGAATGGCAAATGTTAAGGATCTAAAGAGCATTTTAATGTACGCCATTTTAAATTCAAAGCAGCCCAGCAAGCAACTTGTATAGACCACTACCCAATTAAAGCTGCTCATGTCCAGAATCCAGTGGATCAACCGACTGCTCATCTAGACAATTTGATCAAGCATTTAATGCTTTCAGGCGGAACAGGAGTGATAACAAACTGACCATAAAGTGCTGGAACTGCAGTAGTGAAGGCCACATATGAAGGAACTGCAGGACACCCCAAGGTACGAAAATTAAGACTGCTCCGAGCAAGAAGGAGGAAAGTTAAATAGTAGCCATCTCATGGGATAGAGGTTGGCAGATACTGAGAACCCCCATTTTAAAGCACTTCAGATTTCTGAAACGAGTGGTAGCTGTAATGATCTTTTCAGTATGGGAATAAATAAAAAGAGTTCTTGCAATATGATGATCAATACAGAAATCAATGTTACAATCAACTGAATGGATTTGGCTCAACAACTGGAAGGTAAACACATCTGGATGCCATCCTGCATTATTCTCCAGATGGTGTCCTGTGATAAAAATCAACATTGATGGAAAGCTAAATGCTAACATCACATTTGGAAGTGCTGCCTAACATCTTTGGCACATGTGGCAGGTATTACAGATACTTGGATATTTGGATTAGACTTTCTAAGACAATACAATTTTTCCTAGGACTTTCAAAATAATAAACTGCATTCTGGCTCTGAGAAAAAACCATGTTTGGAATTAAAGATGAAGGACTTAAATCCATCCACCAAATCATTGCTCAAGACGATATCACAGTACTAGAAAGAATAGAATTTTTACTACCTGAATCCATAGCCAAAAAGTGAAATTTCCAGTATGGTATAATGGAATATCCAAAGAAATGTAGCACTCTACAAGGAGTACTAGTAACCCTGGCACTTATCGAGGACCGTCATCCCTGTGACAGTTGCCATCATCAGCGATAAAGCAAAACTTGTTAGGAAAGGTGAAGTGGTTGCAGCATGTATCCCAATGACCTGTATTAGGCAACCCAACAGTCGGCCAATCATTACGTTTTCGGAGAATACAATATCAGAGATACAGCAGAACAAACAGCTAATCGCTGAAGACAAGAGTGCTGCTAAATGTGTCAATCAAGAATTTCAAGATGTTTTCTCCCAGACATCTTCTGGCATAGGTCAAACGAGTTTGGCTCAGTTAAGAATAGATATGAGATATATCCACCAATCAAGCAATATTCAAAACATTTACCAACTGCTAAACAGGAAGAAGTGATAAAACTTCTAAAGGACATGCAAGAAAGTGAGGTTATCAAGTCTTCAACAAGTGCTTAGTCCTTTCCTATTGGTCAACTAGATTTTACATTTACCATCAGTGGCTGAACAAGGTTACGAAGTAAAAAAGCTACTCTCTTCCTAGAATAGATGATACTCTGAACACTCTTTCTGGAAGCAAGTGGCTTTCAAATCTCAATTTAAAGAGTGGATATTAGCAGGTAGAGATACATCCTAAAGACCAAGAAAAGACAACATTTACTACTAGACAATGACTTGTTCTTGGCATTTCAAGGTGATGCCGTTTGGATTATGCAACGTTTCGGCAACATTCAAATACCTCACGAAGGCTGAAGTGAGAAGTTTTTCCTAGGAAGCCTGTCTGATATAGCTGGATGACATCACTGTCGTTCGGAAGAGTTTCGAAAATTTAAAGAACGTACTTCAAAATTGATGAAAGCCAATCTAAAATTACATCCCACCAAATATAAATTGTTCAGACAAGAAGTAACTTACCTTACACATGTCATCTATACCAAAATAGTATGTACAGATCCAGAAAAAGTGTCAGCAACTAAAGAATGGAGATGGCTTGAAAATGTCCATCAGCTGAGAAGTTTCCAGGACATTTGTACCTACTGCAGGAGATTTGTAAAGGACTTTTCTTCCACTGCCAGACACCTTCAGAAGCCGACAGAGAACAAGCAAAAGTTCTTGCGGACAAAAGAATATAAGGATACATTTAACAAATTGAAGGAAGCTTTAATATCTGTGACAATCCTGACGTATCCTCAGTTTGACAAACTATTAATTCTTGACACAGATACGAGCAATAAGATTGTCCATGGCACTTTGTCCTAAGAAAATAAACAGTCAAGAACATGTACCAGTATACTGGAGCAAGTGTCTAAACCAGACAGGAATGTGTTGACAGAAAAGTGTTGCTCGCCATAGTTAAAGCCATAGAGCTTTTCCATCATTACCTCTACAGCAGAAAATTCCTGCTCTGCACAGATCATACATTGTTGACCTGGCTTTTAAACTTCAAGAAACTCAAAGGCCAAATAGTCAGATGGATACATACATTCCAGGTATATGACATCACCATCAGTCATTGGAATTGATCATCACATGTAAACATGGACGCCCTCTCTAGAAGACTGCCTATAAAGCTGCCGTCTTACCCAGACCCATGGAAAGATGAAGAAGTCAGAAAAGACCAGGAGGAAGACAGCAACGTTAAACCCATAAATGACTTAATGGAGCCTTCTAATAGGAAACCGACTTGGCAGGACCCTTCAATCTACATAATATCTGGTTCTTTGGGACTCACTCCCTATTTAAAAAGACATCTTGTACTGGAAGTTTGAATCAGATGATGGAAAGGGATTCCGATGGCAGCTGATACTTACAAGATCCCAGACGTCCTTAAAGAACTACACAGCAGCCTAACAGAATGCTGCTTTAGAATAATGTAGACTTAGTTCACAGCATAGAGTTCGAGAGTGCTTCTACTGGAGTACTGCGAGGAGTGACATGCAAGTGTAGTGTCAACCATGCAGTTCTTATGTGGGCTGGAAAGGACTGAAGAAAAGCAGATAAAGGAAGCTGCAAGATTACATTTCTCTGAACCTCTGTCAAGAACTGCTGATGGCAACAAACATCCTCGTTATTACTAATTGCTTTACAAAATGGCCAGAAGCATATTTTACACTTCATCAAGAGCCTGTCATGGTAGCAGAGGTAATGATACATTAACATTGAGTTTCCATGTTTGGAATGCCCTCTTCAACTGCATTGTGATCAAGGAAGTAATTTTATCTCAGCTGTAATTAAAAAACTCTGTAAATCACTCGGAACAGACAAATGTCAAATGACATTATTACATCCACAGTCAGACAGCATGGTAAAGAAGTTTAATTGAAACATCCTTAATAATATCTTGCTTATGGTTTCCATAAACTAACAGGACTGGGACCAGAACTTGCTTCTGTTCTTACTGCTGTCCGTGAGACTACAGGCTATTCCTCATCCCAGATGCTCTTTGGTAGTCTGCCTTGTGATCTCTTCTTTGGTCGCTGCTCTTCAGATGCACCTTCATCCTGAGGAGTACACTCAAGATCTCCAAGCAAGGTTTGAAGTGATGCACAATTCTGCACAAAAGCAAGTCAACTTGGCAGAAGAGAAGATGAAGACACGAGAGCAACAGGGCATTGATTAAACAAAAGTGACAAACATAGGGTTATGGATTGATTTGTTGGAAAGAACTTTCTCCTAAACTATAGTCAACCTGGGATTGTTCTTACACAGTCCTAAACAGGCTGAACAACATCATAAGTTCAGATCTGGAAGTTATCAAATTCTAAGTCATTCATTACTACAGGCTCGCTTTTTACTATGACCATAGTACATAGTCTGCAAAGTGTATATAAAGTAAATAGTATATAGAAGACCATAATCCTAACAAAAATAAATGGTTATTAAAATTAAATAAATGGTTGAATTTACAGATTTATTTAATTTATTTATTAATTTAATGCTCGACTTGTCATAGGTTATTTATTGAAATTATTGTTTTCGTATTGCATAGATTTTCTTTAGTTGTGAGTATGGGTTTCTGTAAAGTGTTTCTTTTGGTAAAATAAATTTTATGAAGCTATCATCAGTTCTGTACGATCTATTATGATCCCATATAGATGCAACAATAAGTAATTCAATTAAGTATACCTCCTCCATATTAAATGAATTTTATTGAGTGGGGGAGAGAAAAAGAAACTTAATTTACATTTAACATAAAAGGCCATCAATTTTGGCTGCATTTTGTAAAATAGCTAACAAAAAAGTGGCATATAATAAAAAAACATTTTGATTACTTTAATTTTCGAAGAATAATTAAACTTTTATGCCCACGTAATGAATCTGAATGAATAATGAATAATCATATAGTTAAATTATAAATTACATACCTGTTACATATTCCTTGTCAGATTCACATGGCACTGAAATTTGTTTTAAAACTGGCATATCACTAATTAGAACATTTTCATCATGACGATACTTCGTTTGCATTCGCTTATTACAGTCTACGAGCTTGATGTGATCGGATTTAGAGAGTGCATTTATTTCGTCAAACACTGCTTGTTTGTCAAAAAGAGCAAGATTCTTTTCAAAGTCAAATTCTGTATCTAAAACTTCACTGTCAACAGAAACGCTAAAACAAGCTTCATCCCGTTCCTTTTGCCATTTTTTGCCATCAGATCTTTTGGTAGCTTTCTTTTTACCTTCACCTAGATCAAATAAAATTATGAATTAATGCAAAGTAATTTTAAAACTTATATTTCCAACTAAATATTCAAACTTGAACTGAAACAAAACAAACAAAAATCTTTTATTTTTATATCTCCTCAGTCACCTCTTAAATTAATGAATAATAATCAAAAGGAATATAAATATTAATTATAGCTCTTCCAGATACATTTAACTGGCCTTCGAATTCAAAAGATTTTATATTGTGGTTCCACTTATACATGAATTTTAGTTCCTGTAATCCTAACATTTTGGATACATATTTGAAAATGTTGACAGATTTAAAAATGCTTGAAAAAAGTCTTTCCATTATAAAGAGATGCAGCTTTTCATCATTAACTACCATAAAATAAACATTGATTTATTATAACAAATGTTTGCATTTCAAAAATCCTGTATTGGTAAGATATCTTATAAAAATTTATGTATTTTCTCTATTTTAATTTTCTTCAAGTACTGTAATTATGAAAAATTTTAAGTGTCATATTTTTACAGAATTATCCAGTTTGACAGGAATACCAAATGCATATTATACATACATACACACACATATGTATATGTATGAAAAATAAAAATATGTAAAAGATAAATTATAATTTAAATTATCAGCATAAATTAATTTCCCTTCTCTACTCTAAAAATAGTACACTTTCTTTGCAATTAAAACACAAACAGCCAATAATAACTTTACACCAGTATTAATTATCCAATCACAATGCACTGAGAACCAAAACTAACTCAATTTGAATTAAGACTTGATCCTAAGCACAACACACTTGCTTGCTACTCTTCAGCCTATTTGGACCACTGTCTGCTGCTTCCTTCTTACTGCAAAGTTATCAAAAATGTATACATTTTGAAACAGGCACAAATAATGTGCCAAGTTGTTTGTAGCTACAACATGTTTACTGAAATAAAATGAAGATTTAATCTGCTTCAATTGCCAGTTTCCTGTTCATTGTGAATCGGCATTTCAACGTTTTATGCCATCATTCTTGCTCTTCAGAATGGATTCAACCTTCTACGTCCTACACCATCAATGCAGCAAAAACCTTTTTATTACATACATATAAACCAACATCCTTACCCAGCTTAAAAGTCCTTATACAGCCTCTATTTTCACAACTGTTGGTCGTAGACTTAGACTGCCAATTACAGAAGTCTTAATTGACAAAAATGTTCATATTTTGGCAATGTCAAATTAAAAAAAATTTGCTTTTCACAAATAGCGAAATCTAGCTTTAATGCGGTCTCATGGTTCCTATACTTATATTTGGAAAGTTTTACACTCATTATGAAAAAATCAAAAATATAAGAAGTTTGATTCTCGTTAGAACTGCAGTTATTTAACAAAGTGAACAATTTAGAAACAATACACATTCTTCTTAATGGTCTGCATTTACAAAGAATGGCATACCAAGTAAAATCAATACAATCAAAGAAATAACGAAACTGAATAGCAATGTCATTTGGTTTTTATTTATTAATTTTTACTGAATTTATATCTTTTATTTTCTTTCAGTTACAAAATTTACAACAAAATTAACTGATTCAATTTATAATACATCAAGCTGTTAATTCTTATGAGTATTTCATCATTGCAGTAATAAATAATACATATATTTCAATTACATACATTTCATACTTTAGGTAATATCTTGATTAATCATGCTTGATATAGATAATCCTTATTACAAAAACATATTTATGGGTACACCTTGGCAAAAATTAGTGGTTTTTGGTGGTACATGGATACTGAGTTTCTGCAATTCTTTAACTTGTTATCTAGCCACTACACAAAGCCAAAATAACAAGACAAAGAATTGCAGAAACTCTGTATCCATGTACACACTGACCTATTGTCACTTAAAAAAAAATCGGAGAATTGCACAAACTTGGTATTGAGCACTCCTTTGACTTTATCCATGTACACATTACCTATTTTCAGTTAAAAAAACATCAGAGAATTGCACAAACTAGGCACTGCGCGTTCCTTTGACTTTGTCCATGTACACATCGAACTATATTCATACACCTTAAATCCCTTATGTTCTATGGATATTTTATTCCTTTTAAAAGCAATTACCTTCCAACTTTTTACAGCTGACTACATAATATAGCTGCTTTGGGAACTAGTAACCAGAAAATTTGTGTTGCCACAAATATTTTTGTAATTTAATTCGCTTTCTGACAAAATTTTTCGTCATGGTTTCACCTGGCACGCATGCTATTTTAAAAATGGCTAATGGTACATACTTGAGATTTGATGGAATTCTTTATATGGGCAATATTTTTTAACTGAACCAAAAATCTGATGAATATTTTAATATTAAAAAATTTTATGCAGGGAAACGGTACAGATTTTTTTAATAAAATGCATTTTATAAACTCAACTCCAAATAAAATAAAAATTTAACAAGAAATTCTTAGAATTCTTGGTTCACAGTAGTTTTCAAATGTTATAAAAGCTATATATTAAATATGAAATTAAATTATGCAACAGAACAAAATTTAAACTGTGAGCGCAAGGTGGAAACATGAGGAAAACTTTTGCCACAAAGCGGATTAAATTATAAAAATATTTGTGGCAACACAAACTTTCTGATTACTATTTCAGAAAGCAGCTATATTGTGTAGTTACCTATAAAAAGTTGGAAGTAATTTCTTTTAAAATAAATAAGTTATCCCAATTCTTGCAAGTCACTTATTCGAAGATCTTATGGGTTGTAAGGTGTACGACTCCCCTTAAAAAGGTCAAAGGAGCATTGAACAAAAAAATATATAATCTCAATAAACTGCATTTTAAATCAAACAATGAAATAACATAAAAAAGGAAATTCGTCTTTGCACTACACAAAAGAAATATCCACTTATCTTAATTAACATGTCTTTAGTCAAACAAAATTACTTAACAGCATCCAAAAACTTCCTAAAATTATCTGAACTAGAATCTGTATACTGGCATCACCACATAAATTCACAAAACAAGAGTAAAAAATATCATCTGTAGCAACGTGTGACCATACACATTTCCTTCCTACAAACAGGACACCTAATAATGGCTAACAAGTAAACCTTCATTTACATACCAGTCAAGTAATGCTCTTTTCCCCTTTCTTTTTAAATCTTACAGAAACTTCAAATTAATCTTACCACATTCAGCCATTTTACCATCTAAACTACAAAACAAGTTCATGTTGGTACTTCCTAACCAACATGAACCACAAACCCTTACAAATTTAACGCAATCATTCAACTGATTACATCATAACAGGGTTTTTATAACATTCAACTATTCAGGCAACCCTAAATGAAACAGTAACTTCACGATAATACAAGGAGTACCCTTCTCTCTACTCTAACCATCCTTATTTAAATCAGATTCCACTTTTATATGATGCTGGCAACACATTAAAATGGAAATCTGTATTTGAGTTCAGAATAACTGATTTATATTCATATAATTTCTGAATTTTTCATTAGCTAAATGATAAATATACATTGTATTTATCTACAAGAAAAATATTAAAGTCTAAAGGATAAAGTAATTACCTAAATTATAAGTGTTTTTGTTATAATGCTGACAAATAATTCAAAGAAGAATCTATTAATAATGTAATGTTTTTTATCATCAACATGAAATACAAATACAGCACACTTTCCCAACACATGCTGTACCTCTTTCCAGATGAAATATTTAATTCAAACGTACTTCCTGACAGTTATTGAATAAAATAGTTCACACATTAAAACATAAGCTGTTGCATATAAATGTAAATTAAGATAAAAAAACAAGAAATCTTCAATAAAAAAATAAGTATACACAGAACTGCTTTAACCCATTAGCCGCTGGTGTTGCGTTGGCACAACGGTCAAAATAAATGCGTATATAAATATAACTACCTAAGATATTTTATACCAGCAGATGATTTTGTGTAGGGAATATTATGAAGATTATTTCTGTAAAAAAATATTTGCCTTCAACAATCATTTTATTTATAGTAATTAATCTCGCACTTTAAGCAGAATTTAAGCAAAATTTCTGACCCTCTTTATGAGTGATCTATTTTTAGTCAAGGTCACCGTTTATCAAAACATTTCATCAGTCCGATGTTTATATTTGTGTTGGAAAGGGAGGGAAAACAGGTGTTGTGATGACGCAACGTCAGCAGGAAATGGGTAGTCAATCTCTTTTTTCACTCATTCCTTTCAATGTTCTGGTTGTTTAAAAATGCCTAGAATGAAGTATCTTACATTACAAGAAGCCCTTCAAAGACTTTTTGATGAAGAAACAGATGATGATAATGTTAATAATGACCAGAATGAAAGTGATCTTGTTGTTGTTCCCCCAGAAATTGCAGAGGTTAGTGATGAAGAAGAAAGGAATGGCAATGTTTTAAATAATGATAATGATATTTTATCAAATGATACTGCTGGGGAAGTTGAAATTAACGTAAGAAGTAAGTTTCAGTCTTCTAAAAGCAGTTATAGTCATACTAAAAAGTTTAAAAAGCAGAAGACTAAAATCTTGAAGTGGATAAAAAAGGAACTGTTAGTTATGTCTAAGGAAAAACATGAAGAAAAAGATAGAAGAGAAATTATAAAAGACAAAACACAGGGTAAAACTAGTGCACAGATTTTTGATTTTCTTTCTGGTTTAGACATTTACTCTCTTTTCGTTTGAACAGGCAAATATATACGCTCAGCACAAAAAAAAAAAAAAAAAAAAAAAAAAAAAAGCCCAGAATTTATGCATCTGAAGCCTATATGAGAAATTTAATTGGAATATTATGCTTACGGATATTCTTTACCTCAAGAAAAAATGTATTGGTCTTTTGATAAGGATATTTCTGTTCCTGTTGTACGAGAATCGATATCAAGTTTGCAGTATAGGAATATGAAGCAGAATTTGCATTTGACAATAGTCAAATTGATAATACTGATAAATTATATGAGGTGAGACTGTATCTAAACTTACCAA